GTTGTGACCTACTCATATGTTTTTATAGTAAATTTAAGTATTGAACTGGTATCAAAGTGGTATCATTAGGAGCCCTAGACATAAGTTCCTTGAACATTCTTAAGTAGCTTGGGGATGGAAATTAAATAGAAAATGATGCATCCAGTTATAGGTAGTCAGATCTGGAGGATTAAAAAGCTATGTAATATTCTATTCACCAAATATAAATACTATTCCCAGTGCTTCAAACTTCAAATTTCCCTTAATTTTGCACAGTGTCAAATAGAACATCTAGTTATACCAATAGGATATATTGCAGTAAACTTGAGATAGCAATATATATAGGTAGGCTGCACCTGGATGGTATACCTATAGATGAATTCTAATTGTAGTAATTGTAAGTATAGACAGAAATGTACAATGTATGTTGTTTATAATACAATTATAAATTAGAGTAAAGCTTACTTGCAATACAAAAAAAAAAAATTAAATTTATTATATCAAGATTATTTTATTATAGCTATTTTAAGTTTATTTCACTATATTAAAATTTTTATATATTTCTGCTATATTGAATATCTGCCATATCAAATTTTACTATATATTTAAAAGTTTTTAATAGAAAGATTTATTTTTGACTTTTATATTTGTATAAATATAACTTAAAAATAAATTTATAATATTAATAAATTTATAAAATATATATTTATTTATTTAAACAGGAATTTTTTTTACTGATTTTTTGATTAACATTTCAAAACAACATTTAAACCAAAACATGTCTTTATTTTTAACAAAACCTATATATTTTCTTTAATACAATTTAATAGACCTTGACAAGATATTCTTATACTCTTTACTGTTTTATTTATTCCTTTACAAAAATAAAAACAAGAAGATTCCTTAGATTTTATTTATTTAAGCTTTAATGGCAAGAAAGAGTTTTTCAAGGAAAAAAACAATTTATTTAATTTCCTCTCTTCTTTTTTTTTTTTTTTTTTTTTTATAGATAAACAAACATCATTTCTTTATTTGATTTGTATATAGCATGGTATACATCATGAAAGAAACAACATTTCTCATGTGTTGGTACAATGAGTTAAATGCTAGCTTGCCTACAATAACCATACGACTAATATTGAAAAAAAGTTTAAAACAATATATCTTGCCAGATGGCACCGAGCAGCTATGAATATCTATTCAGTATCAGGGGAAATCAAGTTAATATTAGCAGATAGAGTTGTTAAGCTATAAATATATTTGGAGTAGTTATATTTAGATTGAATAAATAAATTAGCAACAGTGGAAGGTAGGTTAATAATAATGTTTTCTTGTGGATTGTTGAAGTTGTCTTTGGTTTGCAAGGTTTTTTTGATTTTTGGATTGGTGGAGTTGATTGAATTATGTATATTTAATTTTTTAAAAAATTGTAAAATTGAATATTATTTTATTAGTAAAATATTAATTTATTTAATTTTATTAATTTCAAAATTATATTAATTATATATATATTTAAAACTTTAATATATTATATTAACTGTTACAATTTAATATTTTTTTGTTATTAATTCTTGATTTTTATTTTTGTCAAAACTATTGTTTTACAAAATAAAAAAATCAATCAATCAAATGGGTTGGTACACAGCAAAACCATGCTTTGAAAGATTTTTAGTGGATTATATTAATATATTGTAATTTGATACAATTTCGCGCGCAGTTTTTTAATTTTATATGGTTTGATATATAAATTTAGATTGATAATCGTCGATATCTCCAAATAAGGATTTTGTCTCAGAGCATGGTTTTGCTGTGTACCAACCCAAATAATATGATTCTATTGATTAAATTACTATTAGTAAATAAATTATAATTAAAATTATCCAAATAAATGAAATTCCAGAGATTTTAGCACCAGACTGTATATAGTTAAATAAATTGATTTGTTTTTTAATTCATATCATATGATTGATCTTTAATCCGAACCTCAATTAAGTTTCGTCTTTGAAGCCAACCAGACTTTAACAGCCCTAAATATGATTGTATCAGTACTGGACCCCAAATTCACATGACCAGAAACCCTTCTTTTGGTACCATATGCAACATTGCACAATAAAGCGTTGCATGTTATAAACAAAAACCCTTTGTGTCCGAAACTATAAAATTTATTAGAATGAAATTTACTAAATAGTTTCATTTTTTCAATGTATGACCAATACAAAAATACAAAAAAAGAAGCGATTATAATAAAATCAAATTTAACCGACTAATACATAATTTTTACGAAAGTTAAAGAAATAGAATCATTAATAATCAAATTCTTTTATTAAAAGATGAACGTAGAAAACTCTAATGTTCCAAATGCCTCGGACAAACCCGCAAGTACGCAAAAAATAACCCCTCCTATGGGACCTGAGCCTCAAGAGTATTCCTCTTCCCGACAATCTCAACAAGAATATTCTTCTGTGCCATCTTCTCAACAACAATACTCCACTGTGCCAACTTCTCAACAACAATACTCCACTGTGCCAACTTCTCAACAAGAATACTCCACTGTGCCAACTTCTCAACAAGAATACTCCACTGTGCCAACTTCTCAACAAGAATACTCTACTGTGCCATATACTCAACAAGAATACTCTTCTGTGCAATTTCCTCAACATTTCCATGAACAGCAAAGTTCTTCTGGTTATGCACCTCCACAAGGCGAAGCTTACTCTAAATCTTATGAAACCTATTACCAACAAACTTCTCAACCGATACCGATGCAACCAATTTATCCACCACAAAATCCGGTTATCGTTACAAGTGCACCAGCACCTCCACCAGTTATAGTGCAAACTCAACGGGCTCCTGGTATTTTTTCAATGAATTTGATTTGATTTTTTTTTTTTAAAACGAATTTGTTAATGATTTCTTATTCTTTAACTTTAATTAGTCGGTGTCGGTTTTATTCATAGACGACGACCTGTTACTTATGTGGTTGGCGTCGTCTTTTTTTTTATTATTATAATAGTAGCATGGAGAGTGATTGTTCTTATATAAAATATATTTTTTCACGTAATTTCTCTATCTTAAAGGGGTATTTCGAAGGGTAAAGATTTGATCTGTTATACTTTATAACTTTAATTTATTTTAATGTTTTTCAAAAAAAAAAAAAAATTGTAAATTTTTTATTGAAAAATATATTTTTTTGCGTAAATAAATTAATAAAATTAATTATTCTAATAATTATCATTATTTTAACTCCACTTATTGTATTTATTAAAAAGGAATAAACTTAAATAATAAATATAGTATATTAATAGTTTTATAAAAAATAGATTGGAATTATTTATTTATTAAATTATATTGAATCATTACAATAGATATTGCATGTATAAGCATGCTCGATTCAATTTATCTGTTAGCAATACTAACTTTTTAAATGTAATTTATAGCACAATAAGTTATTTATTATTATTTTTTTTTAAAGTAGGTAAACATTGTTACTTTATTATAATTGTAAAATTGAAAAATTATTATATGAAAAAGTAACAATATTTTTCACATGACCAATTAATCAGTCAGTTTAATGCTAGCTTGCCTATGGTAAACTATCTAAGTTGCAAAGAAAAAAATATATTAAAACTAATACATATTGAAAATAATGCTAAGCAGTTATAAATATCTACTTAGATTTATATGTAAAAAGATTATAAAAAATTAAAAATTAAAAAAAAAAAAATACTAACCAAAAAAATAAATACAAAAAAATTAATTGTAGAGTTAAGAATATTTCAAATAAAATTACTAGATATGCTACTCTAATATTTCTATTTAACTAAAATGCAGTATTGTATACATTTATCAAAAATAATTAGACTTATATATTACTGAAATTTGTAAATCCTTGATATAATTATTTAATACAATTAATTAAGTCATTTTTAAAATATATAAATAATTGAAACATAACACAATTATTTTTGAGAATTTTGGGAATCAAGTCAATAGCAAATAATTTATGTTATATATATAACCAGACTATTGTTCAAAATATATAATAGTATTGATGATGTGTTTTTTTGATAGTTGATTAATTGTAATAATTATATTGATATAATTAGTAAATGCTTTATTTATTAATAGTATAATTGGTTTGTTTGTTGATAATATAATTTTTTTTTTAATTATTGTTATCAAAAAAGATCTTGTTTATACATATATTAATGAATATATAGTATTTTGGTTATATAACTTTGTTTAAATAATTAATAATATTTAATTAATTGAATTTAAAATATTAATTAATTGACAAAAATAAACTAATTATAAAAATTTTTTAAAAAAAAGTTTTAAGTTTTTTGTAATACAGAAAGATATATTAAACAATAGTAAAAAGTAAATATTAAATATATTACTGATTCTTCAAGTCAATAATATAAACAATTTTAATATGTAGTTTAATTTTTTGATTTATAGAAAATATCTTTAAGAAATAAATATAATTATTTAATAAGATATATATATTAGTAAAAAGTATAAATAAGAAGAATTTTAAGAAAAGTTTATAAAAAAGTAATTATTACAAACCTATTTTTATATAATTAAAAAAAAAGCAAAATCTTCAAATTTGCTTTTTTCTGGTTAAAAATTTTATTTCAATCTATTAATATATTTTTTTAATTTCTTAAGACTTTTATAATGAAGATTAAGAATATATAAAAAATTTTAAAGTATTAAAAGATAAAAAAATATTATATATGAGAAAGAATTTTTTAACTTTAATTATAATAAATTATTTTTTTTTAACTAGGACAGTTATTAATCAAAGCTTTATTTATAAGTGATTATTTATTATTGACAATATTACAAATATTCAAAGGTTAACATATATCTTTCTTTGTTAAGAAAAGTTTAATACAAAATTCAAAAAAAATAATTCACCTGTTCTAATTATTTTTTTCCAACAACCATCCAAGCAATAGCAAAAAAATTTTCAAATCTATATATGTAAGGTAGTACCTAATAGAAAACTAGAAAATTTATAATACCCAATCATATGAAGGCACTGCAATCAAATATAGAGGTTTGCCTCCAAGTCATAAGTGGAATTTGATATGCTTGCTTTCTAATGTTGACTTAATGTATGGTAAGTAAAATAAAAGAAAAAAGAGTTAATTTTTTATATATAAAAGTGTTGCAATCACTTTTCACAAGTTGGCCTCTAAGTCATATAAAAAGTTTAACATATTTATTTTCTAAGCATAGCAAAAGTGTCCAATAGATAGAGTTAAGTTGAAATTTCTTAAAGACATTATTATCTAATCATATATATAAACCTATAATGTTAAGAGATAAACAAGGAACTTTTGTTATTAATATCAACTCTATTTGCAAAGGTAACTAGAATTTCTAATTATCACATATTATCTTACTAGGTATTCCAAACACTGACATATCACCTATAGAATTTTACACTGATATTAATTATTATATAATTGGATACAATAGAGCACAACTTATTGAAATTTTAAATAACAATGGTTATACAATAGTTTTTTCGATATATCTAGTCTAACTATCAACAAATAAACAATATATAATATAATAATAACAATCATACTAATTTTTTGGAGAGGTAAGTTATTTGTTCTTTTTTTAAAAATTATGAAAACAAAAAATTTTCTAAGACTCATAATATAAGAAAAGTTATTACTTCTTAATATGTTTTATAAGAGAAAAAAATCAACTGGCCAGAGAAGTAATAAGATAAAAGACAGTAATTTTAAGAGAAAGAAAAACCTAGAAAAAAAAAACTTATAAGAGAAGAAAAAAAATCTAGTTTTGATAGTTAAAGGAAAGAGGAAAAGATAAATAAAAGTATATATTGAAAGAAGTTTATAGAAAAAAAAAAAGAAAAAAAAATAATAATAATAAAAATAATATTAGGAAAAGAAAAAAAGTAAAGAAAAAAGTAAAAAAAAAAAAACAACTTAAAATTTCTTAAAAAGAAAATTTTCAAGTGTAAAAGAAGAAGTGAAAAAAAGTTTTTTAACCATAAATTATTTTTCAATAATAGAATATATAAAAGTATATATAAAATATATTATATATTTAAACTCTCTCCTGATCGCATCTGTTTTATTAAAAATTTTCCTTTTATAATAATTTTAAGCAAGAAAAAATATTATACACTCTTTATCACAAGTGAACCCCAGCTTAAGAACTCAAGAACCTTTAAGACAACTGGTGCAGTAAAATGGGACCTCTGGTCAAAGTCTATTCAAGTTTGAAAGTCTTGCTTATCCTTCGGTTGCATGAGAAAAGGCCCATAACAGTTCTCTTTTCTTTTGTTTTCTTGCACACATCCTTACCCTTATTATATCATAAAAACTATCTACATCAATACCATCTATGGTTTCAAAAATTGGAATCAAATAGAATCGAACAAAATCGCATGAGGTTCGGAACACTATTAAAAATGATAGTGGGGTATACCCCACCTATTAAATTTAATATAAACTTGAG